ACAAGGAGCTTGCAGTCATGGGTCCAAGGTAAGTTCTTTAGGTGGCATAAATTTTAATTCCATCAGGCCAGAGAGGAGAAGGACGTGCACTGCTGATGGAGAAGGCCAGTAGCTTGTATGATCGCGTGTTATCTGCCGGAATTTGGTGCTTCATCTACTGAATGGTGGCTGCACTTCAGCCCCTTACGCTCCCTGGAGCCACTTTTTGTCTCTTACATCAACAGGGATTGTCTAATTAGGTAGACAGTCAGCAGAGACTTCAGCTGTTAATCTAAGCGTGCTTCTTCAGATGGATCTGAAAATTAGTTCTACTCCATATCATTTTACTTGAAACACTCTAGAAAATGGGAATAAAGTCAAAGGGATATTGTGGGTGACACTGAGTTCTTGTTTTGCTGTCCTAGATTCCTGTAATACAGATCGTTCCTCTGCCGGACACCTGTAATCTTGTGTGTATAGCACTGGGAGATTTGGAGATTGGAGAAGTAAGGTGGTGTATTTATTTCTTACTAGTGCTTTGCACCCTGAATAGCTGCAGCTTAACTCTCCTCTTGTGTAAGGGTTGAAATTATCTCTTACCAACGTGTCACTTTCTCAGTTGCTTTAACAGTTGGAAAATACGGAAGGGATTTCTAAAAATTGACTATAAGGACTTACTTGTTCGCCCCTAGAGGTGGTAGACTGTTCAAACAAATGCTTATTTTTATACACCATGGCATGTTTGAGTTATGCTTCCTTCTGTCATTAGGCGTACTTTTCTCTTAATTTAGGCTCTTGCTTTATTCTTCTGAGAATGACTCATTCAAGCAAGCACTAGTAAAAACTGGAAATATAAAAGCTGTTCTCGGACTAAAGGGTAGGAGGCTGGTCAGCAGCAGCAGGACCATGCAAGAGCAGCAAGTGGAAATAGTATCGCTTTCAGAGACAGGAAGGTGAGTCTGCTGGTTTTGGGGTGGCCTTACGGTGGCAGGTGGAAGAAAACTGAGGAGACATCAGAGATGTAGAAAAGTGTTCCTCCTCTGGAGATGTGCTGAGTACGGAACACATGCTTACTAGTTTGTCTGCCTTTTCTCACACGCTCATCTGCTATTCAGGAGCAGAGATGGACAGACTTTGATGCCCCCCGAAGAAACTGTTTTAGCTTTTGCTGAAGTAGAAGGAATGAGAGACGCCTTGGTTGGCACGACTGCAGTGAACAGCATTGTTGTTTGGTCAGTGTTTCCTTTGCAACTCAGTGATTTAGCTTGTGGGTGTACATGGTGGCTGTAACAGCTAAATGTTATACGGGGGTGTTGGTTGGTAGCTGATTTGCCTGTGAAATGGTAATTCTCAAAGGGCCTACAGTCTGGCACTTCAACTTCTGTACAGTTAAGTAGATAGTGAATGAACTCTGCTGTTATAATTCCACTTGCTTTTGCATCCTGTTCATTACAGCTCTTCCTGTGGCCTCTTGCCTTAGTTTGGTTTGGAGCCAAAACTGTGTCCGTCTTGCGTAGCGGTGCAACTATCATTAGAAAATAATGGCTAGAGAATGGAAATGCAGTCAGAATTTGTCTTTTCACCAACTGCAGGAATTTGAAAACAGGCCAGCTCCTGAAGAAGATGCATGTTGGTTACTCCCACCCAGCTTCCATCTGCCATCGAGCATATTCCGACTCTGTACGTACATGAAGTATGGCACACAGTTTATGCATGGACTGCACTGACTAACTGTGGTGGGGACCCAAAGGACTAGGGTTTCTGGAGTGGGTTGAAATATCAGCTCTATTTAGATACACTGAAGGTATTTCAAAGGCAGATAGGTTAACCGGGAGAAGTAAGCCACACTGGCTACCTCGAATTCTTGGCTTTCTGCAGTGTACTAATAAAACCAGAGGGTGCTGCGTCAAAAGTGTGTTCCAAAGCAGCAGCACCTGGTGTGTGGGAAGTGGGAGTCCTGCTGCCCAGCGCTGGTGCTTGGCAAGGCTCTCCCGCCTCACCAGCGCGGTGACGGCACACTGCCGTGGTGGGAAGGCCGATGGGCAGTGGTTATTATCTACCCCTGAGGATGGCAACTGTTTAAAACCAAGATTCACACTAAAGATTCTTTCCCACTTGCTTCCACCTGTGCTGCGATTCCTGATGGATTTTTCTAGTTTATCAAGGATTTGATTGGTTTCAGTGAGCATTTAACCTTTTGGGGCAGGAATGTCTTGTCCGATAACAGTGGCTTGAGTCAGACTTTTTGGAGACTTCCTCAGAAGATCTATCCCAGCGAATTTCATGCTGACCTGTGGCTGTTCTGAGAGCTGCTGTTTTCAGCTGTCCTGGTTTGCATGGAATTCTTGTTAAGTTTATAAGCTCCTAGGGATTAAAGTGAGGCCCAGGAATTTTACTCTAAATGTCACCTCATCCTACAGCAAGTTTAGCTTTTTCAGACAGAAAGATAAGTGCGTAAATCCATTGTGTCACGGAGCTGTCATTTTGCTGTGTTGCATCAGCCCTTATCAGTCAGCAGCTGCTTTGGGTTTTATCTAATTCGATAAGGAAAGGAAACCATTTCTCTGTTATTCAGTAAAAATAATGCATTACTGTCCGTGGGACTTTGATTATGAAGAGAATGTAGCAATTAACTTTTGGAAAATTCTTTGGTTTTTTTTCCCCTCTTGCTGTTGTTTTTAGTGATGTATTTTTCCTCTGTGTATCAGGGCCTTCTGTTTGTTGTCTTAAGTCACCCACACGCCAAAGAGAGCGAGTCCTGTGGAAACCCCGCCTTCTGCGTGATAGCGTTCAACCCCAAAACAGCCAGGAGCACGGGCGTGACGTCCTCCTCCCTCCCGCCCGGGCACGCCGGAAGGCAAGTACCTCGGGGACTCGGCGTGCTGGCGGCGTGGCTGCTGCGAGCTGGTCTGGGGGGGGAGAGTCACCCCAGGAGCCGAGTGGCGCTGCTGGCACGGAGCCACTGGCCATCCCGCCGGGGTTAAGGGGGGGCCGCATCCGTCGCTGCCGTTTGTCCTGTGCGTGGGCAGGGTTGGGGGGGAGGGAGTTGGCCGTTTCCTGGCCGCTTCCTGCGCCAGTCTGCGCGCTGACCCCGAGCCCCCGGCCTCGCCGCGCGGCGGGGGGCTCCGCTGGCAAGCGGGGGCATTGCTGTCCTGCGCGCCTGGCTGCCTCCCCCCCGCAAAGCCGTGCTGGGAATGCTGCAGGGGGCTCGTCAGGCAAAGCCCCCTGAGAAGCCGTCCGCAGATGAGGCGCCCGGAGCCTCTGTGCTCGTCCCGAGCACGTCGCTGGGTTAATGTTGAGCAGCTGCTTGCAGTCTGATGACCTTTTCCTTCCTATGTCTTGCATTTTGAAGACTAAGCTGTTCATGACTCGGTCTTGCGATGCACTTACATAGGAAGCACTGTGATGGATGTGCACAAATATCAGCGGGTTGAGATCTTGTCCTACTGAACAACTTTCAAGTATGCTCTGAGGCTGGGGGAGGAATGTCTTGACCTCCTTTGTTCTCAGGTGCCCCAAAGAGACAACATGTAATGTAGCCTGCCTTCCTACGGTTGGTTTAAATTTGCTTATTGATCGCGTACAGGAAAATCTATCTAGTTTAACAAACGATGCAGTAGTGTTTACGCAAACGAACGGCAGCATTGTGACCCTTCTGTGTACGACCTCAGGTACCTGGAGGGTGACGTGAAGGACGCTTCGGCCGCCGCCGTGCTGACGTCGGGAGCCATCGCGGTGTGGGACCTGCTCCTGGGGCAGTGCACGGCCCTGCTGCCCCCGGGCCCGGCCGGGAGCTGGTCGCTGGCCCGCTGGGCCACCCCCAGCGCCTGCCTGCTGGCCGGGCAGCGGGACGGGACTGTCTGCCTCTACCGGTACCGGCAGCCCCAGCCCGGGGCAGCTTGACAGAGGACTGGGGGCTGGGGCGAGGGTCCCCGGCACCGGCGGGGCCTGCCGCTTCTGCTGCCGCCGCAGGGCAGCCGGTAAGGGGGTGTGGGGGGCTGTGTGTGCGCTGGGGCCGGGCACCGGGTGCCGGTGCTGCCATTAAACCTGTTGGCTTTGGGACGACTCTGTGCCTGCTGCCGCGCCGGGCCCTTCCCCGGGGGCTCCACCCGGGTCTCTGCCGGGGGCTGCTTGGGGGTCCAGAGGCTCTGCCCAGTTCTGTACCGGGGATTGCTGGGGTCTCTGCCCGGTCCCGTGCCGGTTCTGTACCGGGGATTGCTGAGGTCTCTGCCCGGTCCCGTGCCGGTTCTGTACCGGGGATTGCTGAGGTCTCTGCCCGGTCCCGTGCCGGTTCTGTACCGGGGATTGCTGGGGTCTCTGCCTGGTTCTGTACCGGGGATTGCTGGGGTCTCTGCCCGGTCCCGTGCCGGTTCTGTACCGGGGATTGCTGGGGTCTCTGCCCGGTCCCGTGCCGGTTCTGTACCGGGGATTGCTGGGGTCTCTGCCCGGTCCCGTGCCGGTTCTGTACCGGGGATTGCTGGGGTCTCTGCCTGGTTCTGTACCGGGGATTGCTGGGGTCTCTGCCCGGTCCCGTGCCGGTTCTGTACCGGGGATTGCTGGGGTCTCTGCCCGGTCCCGTGCCGGTTCTGTACCGGGGATTGCTGGGGTCTCTGCCTGGTTCTGTACCGGGGATTGCTGGGGTCTCTGCCCGGTCCCGTGCCGGTTCTGTACCGGGGATTGCTGGGGTCTCTGCCTGGTTCTGTACCGGGGATTGCTGGGGTCTCTGCCCGGTCCCGTGCCGGTTCTGTACCGGGGATTGCTGGGGTCTCTGCCCGGTCCCGTGCCGGTTCTGTACCGGGGATTGCTGGGGTCTCTGCCCGGTCCCGTGCCGGTTCTGTACCGGGGATTGCTGGGGTCTCTGCCTGGTTCTGTACCGGGGATTGCTGGGGTCTCTGCCCGGTCCCGTGCCGGTTCTGTACCGGGGTCGGTCTCTGCCCGGTCGCTCCGCGGGCTCCTCTCGGCCTCCGGCCGCCAGGGGTCGCTGCCGCCCCCGCTGCGCCCCGCCCCGCCCCGCCCCGCCGCGCGGGGGCTGCCGGGAGCGGCGCGGTGCCCGCTGGGAGCAGGTCACCATGGCGGCCCGTGTCCTCTCGGCCTGTGTCCGCCGCCCGCTGTCCCGCCCGCCGCCCGCCCCGCGGCCCGCCGCGCTCGGCACCCTGCGGCCTCGTCACCCGCCGCTGGCGCTGCCGGGGCCCGGCGCGGGCGGGCGGGCGGCCCGGCGCTGCCCGCTGCCTCCCGCTCTCTTGCGGGTGCCGCGGGCGGCCTGGCCGCCGTGCCGCCGCTTTTCCGACCTGCCGCCCCTCACCCTGGCCGACATCAAGGACCGCGTCCTCTACGTCCTCAAGCTGTACGACAAGATCGACCCGGAGAAGGCGAGTGCGGCCGGGCCGGGCCGGGGGGCTGGGGGCTCCGGTTCAGCGCGGGGCTGCGGCTCCCGCCGGGGTGAGGCGGCCGCGGCCGGCTGAGCCCCGTTCTTTCTCCCCCCCAGCTCACCGCGGAGTCCCACTTCATGAAGGACCTGGGTCTGGACAGTTTGGACCAAGTAGAAATCATCATGGCTATGGAGGACGAATTTGGTAACTCGGAGTGGCGCCTGCTCGCGCTCGCTGCTGCCTTTTCTGGGTGATTCAGGCTAATCCCGAAGCGCAGCTGCAGCAAATAGTGCTCGCTCTCCCCTCTAACGTCGCCTTTTCCCCGATGTAATTGCAGAAAGCCGTGCTGCCCGCAGCGAGGAGCCAGGGGCCGGTGTCTGTCTGTCTGTCTGCCTGCAGGCAGGGTCCCAGGGGGGGCTGGGGGTCGGGCACCCCACACCCCCGTGTCGCTGGGGAGGGGCTCAGCAGCGTGGGCACAGGCTACAGTGCCTTTGGCACAAAGGCTGCACCTGGAGCTGGCCGCAGCTTCTGCTTCTGAAATCACAGATAGTCCAGGTTTTTCCTCAACAGGGTTACTTCAATCCTCAATACTTGATGCTACGAGGAAAAAGAGGGTGTTTTTTCCTTATTGGCTTATATCCCAAGTTTCCTTTGACTTCATTTTGGACTTCATGCCACCATTTAAAGCTCATAAATTCTGGCGTGCGTGCCTAATCCGTCACAGTGGCTCGTGAAAGCCCCCGGGCTTTGATCATTCCCTGAGCTCCGGGCAGGTGCTTCACGTCCAGAGTGTTTGCCAGCGCTCTGTGTTTAATCCACTCACCGTGTGCCGTGCCTGGCACGTTGGTGTGTGGCCGGGAGGAGCAGGAGGAAAAGTGTCGATGTTCCAGGACATGTTTGTGGGCGGTTTTGCTGCTGAGAGCCCCTGTGCCCCCCGGCTGCGGCGCTGCACGAGCTGGTACTCAGCCCCAGTTCTGCCTCCGAACTGGGGGGCTCCGGCCCGCCTGGAGTCACCACGAGCACCCCCTCCCCTCGCACACAGGGGGCTCCTCCTCCCTGTCCCACTCTGGGAACCCGTGGCTGGGAGGGAAGCGTCGCCCCACGCCCGGCACCCCCCGCCCCAGCCAGCCCTCACCGCTTCCCTCCCCCTCCCTCCCCGTGCCCTGGGATCGGGCTGAATGGGCGCGCTTTCTTCCAGGATTTGAAATTCCCGACGGAGATGCAGAAAAGCTAATGTGTCCGCAAGAGATTGTAGATTACATCGCAGATAAGAAGGATGTTTATGAATAAAACCAGCTCTTCAGAGGTGAGTAAGTGGGAGTGTGCTCCCGCGAGTGTCCCGGGTGCTGGGGGGAGCTAAGGGCGTGGGGCCGGGCAGGCTGTGGGGAGTGGGTGCTGTGTGTGGGGGGGTGGGTGCTGTGGGGAGGCTGCAGGGCTCCTCCATCCCACCCTGCACAGCCCTCAGCCACGGGAGCTGCAGCAGGAGAGGGAACGGGCAGGAGGGGGTGATTGGAGCGACGGGCTCGGGGGCTGCTGGAGAAGCGAGCCGCTGGCTCCACTTCCCTGTGTAGGCTTCAGCCACCTGAGCTCGTCTTGTCTCTGCCTGACCCGCTGCTTCAGGGCCTCAAAATGGTAGTCGTCCGTTGATGAAATGTTAAATATGTGGATTTTTTAACAGGAGAAGTCCCTACTGCTCAGCCTGGGCTGGTGTCAGTGGGTATGAGTATAAGCGCACACGCTGTACTGTTGCTGCTTTCATCGGAAAGTTGTCCTTGGACGTTGTATTTAAAGCTGTCTGAATGTGTTGTCCTTCAAAAAGAAGAAAAAAAAAAAAAGGAATAAATATACAAGACCATTGTTGTGTGGAGGGCTTGTCCCTTTCTGGGCGGGTCAGTGTTTGGGGGGCGAAGGACCGGTCAGGGCTGAGGAACCGGGGGCTGCGGGGCGGGGGGCTCCCCCCGGCCTGGCCGGGGGGGTGTTGGGGTTCCTGGCCCCCGGGGTGTGGAAGCGCCGGCGGCTCCGGCCCCAGGCTCTGCGCCCGCTGCCCGGGCAGCTCTGTCCCACAAACCACCCTCCTCCGTTCGCCTCGGCAGCGCTGGTGAGAACGCGTCCTGCGTGCCAGGCTTCCGCTTGCCCCCTGGAAGATAACGGGGGGAACGATCTCTGGGCTGCCAAAAAGCAAAATCGCATCCGTGCTTCTGTAAAGCTCGCTGCTCGCGGCACGGGAGCCTCGCTTTAGATCTCTCCCAGGACAGACACGAGTTATTTCTGGACGCTGCACAGCGTTTCCTCCGAGCCAAGAACCGCTTTTGTATGTCGGAGGCGCTGCTGGGCTGTGAGCTAAGGAAGTGGGGCTCGATAACGTGTCCCCCCCGGGCAGTCGGGGGGTGGCGGAGGATGGGGGACAGACCCGGGGAGGACAGACACAGCCGGGGCCCGAGGGGGTGGGCTCGGGGCAGCCCCGGGGCTGCTCCTCGCTGCTTTTCAAATCCCCCGCGGGACCCCCGCGAGCCCCGAATCGCCCCTTCACCCCCACCGGCTCCTGAAAGGTTTCCGTGAGCAGCCTGCGCGGCGGAACGGGGGGCGCAGGGGCGGGACTGGGTGGTTTTGGCCACCGCGGCTGGGGCGGTTCCGAGGCACCGGCCCGGCCCCGGGAGTGCCGGTGCCCCCGGGAGTGCCGGTGCCCCCGGGAGTGCCGGTGCGCGGGTGGTTTCACTTGGGGTGGGGGGGCCCGGGGGATGACCCAGTGAAGGAGCCGCAGCCAGAGCAGCCCGGAGCGGGCGGGGGCCGTGGGGGCAGAGCCCTGGCCCGGCCTTACGGCTTTGCTGGAACCGGGGCGGGTGGAAGCGGGACCCGCCGGCGCCCAGCCGGGCTCCCGTCCCCGCAGGCACCGCACCGAATTGGGCTCGGCGCCGGTCCCCCCCAGCCCTGGCTCTGCCCCCCACCACCCCGCCCCGGGGCTCCCGCACAAGCTGCCGGTGGGGCGGGCCCGGGCCGGGGGCTGCGGCTCCCCGGTGCCTCCGCCCCGCCGCAGAGGGGACGGGCGGGGGCTTCCTGCCGCCTCGGCATTGCCGCCAGCGCCATGGAGCGGCTCCGGTTCCCGTTCCCGCGGCTCCCGCGGCTCCTGGCCGCCGCAGGTGAGCGCCGGGACCCGCCGCTGCCTCCCCCCGCGGAGGGGGGAGGGGGGGGGGCCGCGGCCGGTGTAGCCCCGCGGGCTCGGGGCTCCGCGGCGGTGGCGGGGCCGGTACCGGCAGCGGGCTCGGGCGGGTCCGGGCTGCCCGGTTGCGGCGGGGGGGGGGGGGGGGGGGGGAGGAGGGCGGGGGGCGGGTGTCACCGGTACCCGCCCGGGAGGGGGGGGGGGGTTCAGCCGCGGGGGGGGGCGGACACGGGGGGACGCGGCTGCGGGAGGAGGAGTGGGGTGCTGGCGGGGAGCGGGGCCGGCGGGGGTCGTGGTGACCCCAGCTCCGGCCCCACCACGGCGAGCGACCACCCGCCCGAATGCCTGGTGACCCTCCCGCACCCCCCACCCCCCCTCCCCGGGGACCCAGAGCCCTGGCCGGGGCGATGGCTGGCACTGGCCTGGTGGTGGCTGGCACTGATCCGGCACTGGTCCGGCACTGGCCTGCTGGTGGCTGGCACTGGCCTGGTGGTGGCTGGCACTGGTCCGGCACTGGTCCGGCACTGGCCTGCTGGTGGCTGGCACTGGCCTGGTGGTGGCTGGCACTGGTCCGGCACTGGTCTGGTGCTCTGCCCGGGGACCTGGTGTTGGCCCGTGGCGGCTCTCGGGTCGGTGGTTCGGTTCAGGGCAAACCGCCCGTTCCCAGCACGTGCCGGTGCGTGGCACGGGGTTCGGTTCCGGCGGTTTCCGCCGGGTTTTGGGGCGTCCCTGAGCATCTCCTCGGCAGCGGGGGGAGGCAGCTCCTGGGGGCAGGGGGACACACGGTGCTGGTGCCTGTCACCAGTGCACAGAGCTCTCCCCTCTCTCCCCAGTGATCGTGGAGTGCTGCGCCCGGCTCTGCCCCGGTCTCGGCACCGGGACCGGCTCTGCCATCCCCTGCGCCCGCCCGGGCGAGCGCTGCCGCACAGGTACCGCCGGGGCCACGACCGTCCCGTCCCACTCGCCGCCCTTCGCCGTGGCACCGCGTGCCGGCCACGTGCGTGGGCGCCGCGCTGGGGCCCGGGGTGCCGGCCGTGGGGCAGCCCTGCGCAGCGTCCCCCCCTCTTCTGCCTCCGCCCGCAGGTCTGGAGCGAGGAGCTGGCACGGGGCCCGCGCCGACGCCGGAGGCCGTGGGGCAGCCGCGGACAGGGGCTGAGCTGCCGCCCTTCCCTGGGACCCCCAACGGGACCGCTGAGCCCCCCAGCCCCCCGGGGAGCCCCCAGGCAGGCGGGGAGGGGACGGGGCCCACGGCGTGGGGTGGAACAGCCACCCAGCACCTGGGGCTGCTGCTCGCTGCTGGCAGCGAGGGGCCGTCCCCTCCCCCAGCCCTCGGGTCTCCCCCCGGGACTGACCCCGCAGGAAATGTGACGGCGGGAGGTGCCACGACCCCGCAGGGGACCCCATCGCATTCGCCGTCCTCTGCAACGGTGCCCGGCTCTGCTGGAGGGCAGGGGGGGACCCCCAGCACCCCACCGGGATGGAGCCCCACCGGGACAGGCCTTGCGCTGAGGCAGGGGGGCTCACACAGCCCCTCACCCCCAGAGCCGTGGGCTGGGGAGGGCCCAGGGGCCACTGTCTCACGGGGTGACAGCAGCACGGGGACTCACCTGAGCGTCTCGCTGGCCACGGACAGCCCTGTGCCGGGGATGATGGGGACGTCGCCCTTTGTGGGGGGGCTGCCAGGGCTGCCAAGCCCCGCGGGGACAGAGCAGGGGACCCGGCTGGGGCTGCCGGGGGAAGGACGAGGCTCTGATTCCCACCCGGGGCACAGGACGGACATTGCCTGGCAGGGTCCCCGCTCTGCCCCTCGCCCCTCCTCGCCCTCCCTGGGGACTGGTGGCCGTGGGGACCCCCCAGCCAGCACAGCCCAGCCAGCCACGGCGACAGGCCCAACCTCACTGCCTGCCGCAGGCAAGGGCTTGGGTTTACCTGTCCCCACTGCCACAGCCGGCACCCCAGGGGTGACATCCCCCAGCCCGGGGGGAGCCCTGGGCCCGACCCCAGGGCTGTTGGGGCCACCCGACCCAGAGGGTGCCCCCGAGCACAGCCACGTCCCCCTGGACCAGACCTGGCAGCCCCCCACCTCGGCGGCCCCGGGCAGCACCGCTGTGGCACAGAGCGGGGGGGCACACGCCAGCCCAGGGCCCCCCCACGCCCCCACAGCCCCACAGCCTGCCCCAACCTCTGCAGTGCCCACGTCACCGACCCCACGGCCCTCCCCGGGGACCAGCTGGGGTGTCCCGGGGCTCAGCCCCACTCTGGGCACCCCCTTGACAGGGCCGTCCCCGCGGCACCAGCGGCCCCACACTGGTGTGGGGGACGGTCCTGCTGAGAGCCCCCAAATCCTGGGGGGGACCCCGGTGGGGGTGGGTGATGCCAGGCCCTGGGCAGCGACCACCCCGCCGAGCTGGCAGCTGGGCAGCCCGGCCCCTCCCTCAGCCCCTGGGCCCCCCCAGCACCTGGATCCATCCCAGGCTTCATCTTCCCTGGGGCCGGCGGCTGCTCTCGGGGTCACCGGCACTGCTGTCACCGCCAGCACGGCACCGCTCGGTGCCAGGGGGACGGTCCCACCAGAGCCCGGTGCTGGGGTGTTTCAGGGGGCTGCAGCAGGGCTGACGTGGGGGCCCCCAACTCATCTGCCCACCATGGCACCAGCGCCCCCCCAGCAGCCCACCGATCTCCCCGGGACCCTGGGCCATCGTGGGGGCCCCGGGTCCCCCCCAGCTTCGGGGGACGCAGAACTGGTCCAGCCGCCGAGCAGCCCCGGAGGGTGGCCGGATGCTGACACCCCCCAAGCGACACCGGCCCCCGCTGCGGCAGGCAGGGCCCCCCGGGTGTTCATCGTGGAGGATCAGCCACCCCTCCTGAGAGGTGGGTCTGGGGGGGTTGGGACCCCCGGCCAGGGCACAGTGGGGGGAGGAGAGGCCCCATGAGCCATCAGCATGGGGGGGGGGGTCAGTGGTGGTGGCCCCCAGGGCAGGCAGTGCGGGTCCCTGTCGTGCTGATCCCTGTTTCTCCTCCCTTAGCATCCCTCCTCCGCATCCCCTGCGAGCTGGTGCTGGACATGGGGTTCGTCCCTGCTCTGCAAGACCCCGGCTCCCACGAGCGCCGGGGGCTGCTGCACAGCTTCAACCGGACAGTGAGCGTGGGACGGGGCTGGCTGGAGGGGGGGACTGGGGCGGGGGGGCCGCACCTGGGGGGCCACCCTGCATCACCCTCAGCTTCCTCCCTGCACAGGTTGTGCCCCTCTTCATGTCGGTGCCGGGGTTCCTGAGGCTGGAGGTGACGGGGATCAGGTAGGTGCCTGCGCAGCCCCGCAGCGTGCGCTGCTCCCCGGGGCGGGGTGGGTTCCACACGCTGCGGAGCCGGGGCGCAGGGCTGGAATTTTGGGGGGGGGTGTGTGTGGGAGGTCGGACTGTTGGCGGGGTGTCCCCCGCAGGGAGGGCAGCGTGGTGCTGCAGTACGACGCGCTGTTCGCGGCCGAGCGGGTGCCTGCGCCAGGGCTGGGCGCGCTCCTCGACGCGGCGCTGGGCTCCGGCAGCGCCCGGCCCGGGCTGGCGGTGGGCACGGCCCCCGTCCTGCGACACGTGGCTCTGGGTGAGTGCGGGGCCTGGGTCACCCCCGGCCCCTCCTGCGGCCCCCCGGGGCCGGGTGCCCGGCCGGGGGTGGTCGCAGGGTTGGGCACGTTGCCTGGCCCCGGCTCCCCGCTGGCCGGGGAGGGGGTGGCACAGCCAGACACCCACCCCCCCCCCCACCTCGGCCCCCCCCCCCAATCTATGCAGAGCGGCCGCTGGACCCCTGCGCTCTGCTCTTCGCCTGCCGGGCCGGCTTCACCTGCGTGGCCGGGGCGGACGGGAACGCCACCTGCACCTCCCTCTGCCACCGCGACTACTGCAAGAACCACGGCATCTGCACCCACCCCCGGGACCGCGGGCCCCTGTGCCAGTGAGTGCCCCCGGCGCCAGCCCTGGGGGGCCGGGTGCTGCCCCCCACCCCCCGGCGGCTGATGACACCCCCCCCCCCTTTGGCGCAGGTGCCCCGTCGGCAGCGATTTCTGGTTCGTGGGGCTGCGCTGCGACTACCGGGTGACGCAGCAGAGCTTGCTGGGGGTGGCCGCGGGGGTCCTGCTCAGCATCGTCCTCCTGGGCGCCGTCGTCGCCGCCGTCGCCATTCGGCGGTTCAAGGCGCTGCTGCTGGAGGCCAGGGCCGAGCAGAGCCGCAGCAGGTGGGCTGGGGGGGCCGTGGGGTGGGGGGGGGCTGGGGTCAGTGGTGGCGCTAGAAGGAGGGGATGTGGGGTCGATGCCCTTCAGCCCCCTCCCCAGGGGGTGCTGGGCAGCAGCTCCAGCCCCACACGTGGGTGCCCGCGGGGGGGGCACGCAGCCCATCCGGGGTCAGGGGGGGCCGCGGCTCGGGGGGGAAGCTGGGGCTGAGCTCTGCCAAGAAAAACACGCTGCGGCGGCTGATAGCGACGGGCGGGAGGTGCCGGGGCCGGGGGGGAAACCATGTGCGGGAACGAGGAGGGGGTGGTCCAGCCCCCCCCGGAGCCACGGCCGTGCCCCCCGGCTGGGGGGGGGGGCGGTGGGGGGAGCAGGGCTCCGGCACAGCCCCCCCCCCCCCAAACGGCTCCTCTGGGAGGGCTGGGGGGGCCGCGCTGCCCCGGCCCCGCTGCCCCCCCCCCCCCCCCCCCGGCCAGGCTTTCGTAACGTGCCGCGGGGGAGACTGTTCCCGAGGAAACCACCCCAACATCTGCGGGGCCGCGGCCAGATGTTGTCGGGTGTCACGGGCTCTGCCCCCACCCAGGGCGCGGGGCTGGGGCCCTGCCCCTCAGCTGTGAAATTTGGGTGGAAACCGGCGAGCTGTGCTTGCAGTGGAGTCCCAGGGAGGGTGGGGGACCTCGTGTGCGTGTGCACGCGTGTGCGTGTGCATGTGCGTGTGTGTGCATGCATGTGCGTGTGTGTGCATGTGCATGCATGTGCATGCGTGTGCATGCATGTGCACGTGTGTGCATGTGCGTGTGTGTACATGTACATGTGTGTGCATGCGTGTGCATGTACATGCGTGTGCGTGCATGTGCGTGTGCGTGCATGTGCATGCGTGTGCATGTGCATGTGCGTGTGTGTGCATGTACATGCGTGTGCACGCCTGTGCACGTGCGTGCACCCCCGGGCGCTGCCGCAGCCCCCCCCCCCCCCGCAGCTACCGCCGGTTCTGCCGCCTGGACGACCTCTCGGCCCGGTACTGGTCCCGCTCCTGGTTGCCCTCGGCCAGCTCGCTGGACAACCCGGCCTTCAGCAACTCGGAGGAGCTGCTGCACCTGCGGATCCTGGACAGCGGCTGCTGCGGCTGCCGGGGGGACGCGGCCGCCACCGCCAGCGCCAAGCAGCGCCCGCCCGCCCGGCCCAGGTACCGGGGGGGGGGGGGGTGTGTGGGGGGGCTGCTCTTCCCTGTGCTCCCCCGGCGGGGGCCAGGGCTTTGGGGGGCACAGCAGCCTGCCCTGGCCCCGCTGCTTTGGCCCGGCGCTGGCCCCCCTCTGCTTGGCGGCGGCGCCCGGCAGCTTCGACTCTGCGGCAGCCGTTGGCGCGCAGGGAGAAATAAGGATTTTTTATTTTATCCCCCCCCCCGCTAAGGAGCTTTGTGTGAGGGGGACAGGTGTAAGAGGAGGAGGGTTCATACCCGCACTGGGGTTTGTGCGAGTACGAGTCTTTCATCACCTGCCCGGGGCAGAAATGGAAGAAGGGCCCTGGCAGTTTCCCGAGCAAAGGGCTCCAGAGCCGGGGCCCCCCCCGCCCCGAGCACACCGCCCGACTCCCACGGGGCGTTTGCGGAGCATCCCCCCTCCTCCCCTTTCTTTTAACCGCCGGTTTCTTCCCAGCTCCCATTACGCCTGGGACACCAGCTCCAGCACCATGAACGACCCCATGGTGGACTCGGGAAAAGCCAGCGATATCTCGGTGTCGAGCTGGCCGCTGGAGCCCGGGCAGTGGGGGCCCTTCCCCCTCCTCCACCAGCTCTCCAGGCAGCGCCCGGTGAGCAGAGCGGGCCCGGGAAGGCCCTTTGGCATTTGGCTCCTACCCCGGGGAGCGCTGCTCCGTGCCCAGCCCGGGGGGTTGCACCCCACACCCCACACCCCCCCCCCGGCTCCTCGCAGAGCCCCAGACCAAAAACCGCTCCCCCCGCAGCACCGAGCCCGGCGGCCTCGTTCGCACGGCGAGGGGCTGGAGCTGGGCAGCCTGGAGAGGAGCTGGACAGCCTGAAGAGCGCAGAAGTACAGGCCACAAGGTTCAGCTTTTAAAACCAACCACATTTTATTTCCACGTAACAAGCTCAGTGAAGGAATTTCAAACACTTTGACAATACAATCAACGCAGGTGCGATGTCAGTTCCACGCCAGGCAGAGGCCGGAACGATTCTCTGCCAACGTTTTCACCACTGCTTCAGGACCAGACTTCAGGAGCCAGCTTTGGCTTGGGACAGCGTATTTCATAGTAAGTAGTT